CACAAAGAATGTAAGAGCCAGGTCTCATTAACTATTGGCTCTTTCAAGAAATAAAGGAAAGCTATTTGCATAACCTTTCCTAATAACTAAAAAGCTTAGGCGAAAAAACGACAATGCCACAGTATCAGGCACAAATTAGAACAGACTGAGATATGTAAATCGAAACAAAGAGATGATGAAAAAAATCAACACAATTTGTTTCATTAGTATAAGCTCTGAAATGAACATTTTCGTGAATTTAAAACTGATTTGAAGTTGGAATTATTCAGAGAAGAACTAAAAATGTTAGGGTTAAAAACTGAAACAAATTTAAGTTGCTTATTGAAAAATTAAATCCCATATTTTTTTTCTCAACGCTTTATGTCTGCGCGTTTCGATCGATGCGGAAGAAAAAAAAACGCCAAAATTGTTGAAGAGCAAGAATCATTGGACTCTTGAAGGCTACATATAGCCACCAACTTTGTTCTCTTTTGGCTTAGAGTGAATGGTATCTTGAAAAGCGAAAGCTACATATATCACCCAGAAAAATGGCCGAAGTCAACGGCATAATCAAAAAGGAACATATGTGTCTAGTTTTGGAAAGTTGTTCAAATTGGACTGGAATTTAAAAGGTATAGACTTCAGAGTAGTTTGTGCAATTTACAAAATTAACCAAAAAGTAACCAAAAAATGCGTTTTAGGCGCTTGTTTTTTTTGCGTAACAGACAAAAAATGTTGATTACTGCAAAACAGACAAAAATGCGAAACAGACAAAAAAGTTTCACGCTTCATCTCACGAATTTGATTCATGTTCAACAAGTTTTATCCTTATATTACAGCTATTTCGATGCCAAGTTTTAATGCGCATAACTTGACCTAGATTAAAAAGAACTCCTCGTTTGATTAAAAAATTGACAAACAGGCCTATTGGCTCGGTGCATTTTTTGCTCAAGACTTAGATTCACTCAGGAGGAAAAATGGCTATTTCCCTAGCTGTTTTGCTAATTAAAAAATGTAAGTTTTTGACAAAAAGGTTTTTGAAATTTTTTTTTGAAGATTGATGTGTAACTTCATTGTTTTTCATTGGTATCGTTGCAACCTTTGATTTCACTGTTCGGTATCATAGTGGTAACTTATCTTTTTTGGAAAAGAAATTCATTGAACTTTCAAAGTTAATTTAGTCTTAACTAAAAGATTATAGGCCTAGTTACCAATTTTTTTTGTTCATCAAAGATGGTGATTTTTGAAATCTTTTTAGCAGCACCACTAATTTTTCAGGATTTTTTGCAAAAAAATTAGAAAATTTGTTATGCCGTTGGCCTAAAAATTGTCTCAAATCTTGATACCATGCTCACATTTATTTGTTTTTTCACTGTATCTAAAAATCTTTGACTGCAATCACCTTTTCGTGAGATAAATGAAGTCGTTTCTGTGAAGCAATTTTCCCATAAATAATCAAATATAGAAAAATCTCGGACTTTTTCTTAACTAATCGCAATGCTCATTTTTATTTGAGCAAAACTTAGAGAACAAATTTTCCTTCAAAAATAAGTTAAAAAATATCTAAAACTTTTTCATGTTTTGTTATGAATTTCAAAAAATTTGCGGAATTTTTATGCTTGGGTTTGTTGTTCCGACCATTGAAAATGGGGAGGAACTTTGTAATCGAATGTGTTTTAGTTTACCACGCAAAATCAGGTACCACACATTCATCGGGACGGGTTGAGTAATATATCATATCAAAGCCCTTTCAATCGTAATTCGAACAATGTGTCGAGAGTAACAGGTTTGGAATTTTTGATTTTTCGTCTTTATTTGGGCGAATAAAGCATGCGAGCAGTCCTACAACAGTTGAATTCTGCGAATCTGTCCAATTAAAGACCTTGAAACTTAATTTAAAATAAGTAAAACTAGTTTTGGGGCTTTTTAGCTTCATTTTGAAAACCAAAAATTTTCCGCATAACATTTTGAAAATTTTTTAAATTTTTTTTTCAGCTTTTCTAGTCATTTCTCTACAAAAAAGTTTTGTTCAATTTGTGTATATTACTATGACAGTCTATTAGCCTAAATTAATTTTTAAAGTTAGATCCTATTATCGAACCAAGCAGAAAAACAACACTAATTTAAAAAAAAATTTTAAACCGGAGTTGTCTGAAGACTATGGTCGGAACATTCTGTGCTACTTGTAAAAAAATGTATACTACCAATGAAGGTTAAACCTCCGATTTGCTATTCAATAAGATATCTGGGTTATAATCTTCAATGGCGTACAATTTTTTTGAATGCCTTTTTTAGTGGCCTAAAGTACTCCAATTTATATTTTTTTTAAGTTCTGGGGGCTTTAAAATTGTCAATTTATTTGCCTCATCTTTGAACCAGTTTATGTGCGATGTAAATTATTTATTTATTTTACTAAAAACGTATTACGAAATTTTTATGAGTTTCGAATTATTCGACACTATAAAATCGTTCCAAATTGAATTCAGACAAGCTAATTGGTTGTATAGTTTTTGTACTACTAAAATTTTCACTCTTGGTTTTTGATGTTGTCCAGAATTTATGCTGTTTTAAAAAATTTTTGAAAACAACTACCAATTAAGAGCTCTTCTCTTCGTGGACTAGACCCCCTGCTGACCCAAAGGGTCCCCCTTTGTACTATTTTGAGATATCCATCTTTGGCTGACGGATCCCAAATTTTTTTTCTAAAGGCTCCTTTCGATGCCAGTATATACTAATTTTAGAGGGAAAACGTGCGCCAAAAAATAACGCAGTTTTGGTAAAAATTTTCCAAAAAGTGCCTTAAAACGCTACTTTGGCCTGTTTTTCAAGCTTTCGCCTGGTCTTTTTTGGGAGCTGAAAAAATCATTTGGCTCGTCCTAAAAAAAATCCAAAACATTTTTGAATTTTTTTTTAAATCCGCCCCCCGCCCAAGTTTAGATTTTCAATGCTAAAAATCTTAGAAAACTAGCAATTGACTTACCGTGATTAGATTTGCCACACTGCCTAAAACACATAATCCTTGATACAGGGAATGAATGACTTTTCGTTATTGTATTGTGTCTCATAGAAGCTCTCTGTCTTCCAAGTTCAATGGTAAGCTGATAGTTTTAGCAAAATAACGGAATACAGAAGATGCATTTTTCAAAAATAGAGATATGACGGATGATTTGATTTCAAGGTGTTGTTTCAAGTATCCAGAAACCTTTTTGACTAGCTTCGTTTGAATTGAAATGCAAGGCACTTCAATCATTCTTTTCTAGTTTCAGCTCGGTTTGACCACCTTAGCCATGAATCTCAGAGCATTTACAGAGAAAATATTTGCCGAAAAAGATTTTTTAAAATTTTCGTTCATATCACTGCCCTTACAAAACTAAAATTTACAAAATCTGTGCTCCATTGTTACTATAATGGCAAGATGTTCACTTATAGAACGTCAGATCGTGTATTCAGCCCCCTGCCATAGCAATGATAGTGTGCGAGGACGCTCTCTGGCTTCATCTCTAGCTTCAGCAGTACCACAGTTTAACCAATTTCGGCTGCAATATGAATAACACGTGAAATTCCTAGACGCAAAAAACGGCCTTGAGTCAGAACAACTCAGTCTGGAAGGTTGCAAAACATACTGTTTATGCGTAGAGAGGACTGATAGCCTTTCATGGATCCTCTGCGAATCGCAGAAACATCCATTAATATTTCAGTTTCTTCATTATTAATTTGATTTTTTGATACTTGGGGGTCAAAATGAAGAACTGGGGGTCAAAATTTTAGTCGGAGCTAGTCAACTTTGCCTTCAGTTTTTCCTTTTTTTCATTCTTTTTAAGTTTTTGCTCACAATTAAATTGGAAAAATGTGTAGGCATTTTGATTGGTCGCAACACTCGTGGACGGAGTTTCTTTGACCATGAGCGCGCGTCGCTCTCTTCGGTTGCGACAGAATGAGACTAATGAAAAATATCCGCAATCTGTTACGTTAGCAATACTTATGTACGTCGGACAAAACGCTCGCTAGTATAATAGAGTCCTCTCTACTTTCTATCTTAGAAAATAAATCTAATATTCGGTGGAAAATATTTGATTAGAAAAGAAATTAGTATAAATTGACTGCAAGTTACCTTTAGACTCGATATTTTTTAAGGATTGGCTTTGAGATAAATTGACTGAGAATGGTTGTTTTTTTAGAGAAGGGTTGGTAAGGTTGAAGAGAAAATTGTTGGAGTGAATCTCAGTAGTTTTCAGCTTCTGTTTATACTTCATTGGGAATTCTCCCATTTTATCGTAGCAAATAAGAAGTTTTTTCAAACTTCGTTATCTCTCGTGAATGTTATTCGTGTATTCGTTTTTGCGAGAAGAGTCGTTTGTACATTCGTATTTAACGAGTAGAGTCGTTATTATTCGTGTTTCATGAGAACAGTCGTTTTAATTCCCAATGCGTGAAATGTTATAGGAGTTATTCCAAATACTTTTCCATTCATTTTGCAAAGGGATATAAACAGATTGATTTTATGGTGGCGGCGGTGTCACGCTTTGTGGACACAATAAATTCTATGTTTCTGTTTCAATTTGAAATCAGAACAAATCTACTAAATAGTAAAGGACGGTATCGACCCGGATTTGATTGAAGTGATCTGGGCCGAGGTCGCCATAATTGTTCTGTTCCAAATATTTCAAGCCAATTTGAAAATTTGAAGACCGGGATGTTAACGAGCTCGAACTATCTCCAATTCAAACTGAGAGACTCGCCTGGATCATGGTAAATTCGAGCTAGACGCATGCAAAAACCTCAAGTCATCTGCCATTTCAAATGCTTTTGCCACGTCAAAAACTTTTGTCTTCAGTTTAAGAGATCCCCTGTGATCATACAATTCCTGAAACTACACGCCGACTCAACGGTTAGGCCTTTATTTTCGAAAGTATCATCTGATTTTGGCAAACGCCGAATGGATGTGATTGGTTATTTTGCTAAAGCAAACTTAATTAGCCAGCTCTATGATTGCACTTCAATAGCTGGGTTCAATTGTTTTATATGAATTCGGAACAAAATTCGCGAATCTGGGTTCAAATTTGACCTCAATTCTTATTATGCTGGATCTTTTGTATTTGAAGATCCGATCCAATTTCACATGATCAACTCTTGTATATTTGTATTTTTGACATTTTGGCTAACGTTCAATACAATTCAAGTTTTGGTATTATTTTATTCAGTGCTCGACTTATAGTTTTCTTTTTTTTTCTACGAGCAGTTTAAAATTATTCCAGTCGGTTTTAATTTTGTGAATTAATCCCTCAGATAAAATTTGCATTGACTGCACATTTCGCAACTGCGTAACAGGAGAAATAATCTCTTTGGACGTCGCCATCTTCTTTTCGTCACTCGGGGAGGGTCTGAAATACGCCAGAACTCTGCTTTGTCTTGACAATGTTCGCCTTGGCTGTTATATGTTCTTGTCTCTTAATGACATTTGGTTCACTGACTGACAAGTCGACCTGTAGTAATCTGGAGGTTCTTCCCAAAACTGAACTTAATCTGGAACAATTGCTGGGTAGTTGGGTTGAGGTGGGACGATCGTTTAGAAACCCTCTCAATGGTATAAATGTCTGCTGCGAGTACAACTTCGAGCTTGTTTCTCACAACAAATCAGGTAATTGCTATATATAGTTTTCAGAATTGATTCTTTTTGACGGAAACATAGGATGCCGAAACTAAGTGATAATAAGTATTGAGAAACATAAAAATTTCAAACGGTTTTTTAGAGGCAACAAATCACCATTTTATCATAGTCGCAACTTCGCAACTTTAACAACACCTGATGACAAAAGTCTCCAAAATAGGCAAAATGGATGAGGTTTCATCACAAAAGCTAAAATTTAGCTCTTGTGCCTTATTAGACGCGTGGTGGGGCCTCGCAATGATTGAAGATGTATACTAATGCATGAGTTTATCTTGCAGGCGCAACTGTATTGAAGCTGAGCTACCAAGGTGACTCAGGCTGGGGAATTGATAAAAGGAAAGGCTTGGTACTCCTCAACCAATCACAGTCCCTTAAATTCAACACTTTCACTCTCAAACTATCACACAGATACGAGATGCATCTTCCCATCACACTCGATATGCACATTTTGACTAACGATCCTGAGTCGTACATTATTCTGTACTCGTGTGTTCAGACTAAGGGTTCGTTTGTACGCAAATCACAAAGGTACGAGTATGCTTGGGTCCTGGTTCGCGATATAGACACAGCGAACATGGCTGCAATCGATCATGACACGGAGAAACTTCTATACGACACGAATATCTCTGGGGAGTCGGGAAATCAGATTATTCGCACCCTGGGTAAAAAGTGTATGCAACGCATGTGAAGCAAATCTCGGAATATGTAATTATTGACATTATGTTACGGGATAACTAAACCAAAATAAAATTAGAATTAGAGCAGTTGTAGTCGTGCGACAAAAACAAAATTAGGTTTAGTTTTAATAATGGATGATGACTTTCTTCATTAAAAAAAAGTTCACAGTTTACAAATCTAATGAAAGTATGAAGTGAATGGCTAAGTTTCTACCGCAGTTCGAGTACAACTATGATCGGAAATCGCTTTCCGAGGACGATGAATTATTACCCAGTCCAGAAAAATCAAGAAGAAAAAGAAATCGTTTTTATTCTGAGACGCCTTCGAGTTTCTTACCCTGCCAAAAAAATCTAAAAATTTGATATAACCCTATTTAAAAAAAAATTATTTAGATCTATTTTATTTGGTCGATCAACACAATTTTTCTGAAGAAAAGGCTTTTTGAGGGACGAGCGTGCTGTAAAAACGCATAGTAAAACCTAATGGTGTTCTAGCATTTTCTCAGAAGTAATCCCGAAAAAAATTATTGATGCATACGTTGGTTGTTATTAATGCGCTTTCACAACGCCAATAAAAAAATAGATACAACCAGGGGCGCATCTAGGATTCTCTCGAGGGGGGGGGGGGGGGGGGGCGCGGATTTTCAAAAATTTTGTCGACCTTTTTTTAGGCCGACCAAATTGATTTTCGGAGCTCTCCCAACCCAAAGCACTGTTTTGTCCCTGTTTTGGATAAAGCTTCTGCGCCGCAGGCAAAACTTTGAAAAAACAGGCCAAAAACGGCGTTTTTAGGCAATTTTTGGAAAATTTTTGACCAATAAATTGCGTTTTTTCGGCGCGCGCTCTCCCCTCAAAATTAGTATACATTGGCGCCCAAGGCGCCTTTAGAAAAATTTTAGGGTTTTTCGGCCAAAAATGGATTTCTTAAAAAGTATCAAAGGGGGGACCCTTTGGGTCGGCAGGGGGTCGAATCCCTGAGGGGGGGAGGGGAGGCGTCCATCCACCAGCCCCCCCCCTAAATCCGCCCCTGCATTTAACCATAAAAACACGTTAAAAAACCTGGGAATTAGAAAATTTGAATTGTGGAAGGGGACACAGAAAAAGCAATCCGCGGCAAGTGTCCATTGACCTATTGAGCTATATGCGATAAAAAATTAGGCTTAACTGATCGTGATAGCTAGTGATAGCAAGTGACACTAGGCCAATATGAGCAGCATATGTTATTTATCTTGATTTACCTAGAATAGACAAAACCGTGAAGTCAAACTTCTGTAGAAGAAGAGAATTTTTGTTCCGAGTTTCGAAAAAAAATGACTAAATCTTTACGTTTGGGGTAGCATTCCCCAAACTTTCAAAAATCACGTTAATTTTTTCTTTTTTAAACTTGGTTGGTGTAGAATAAAGCCCTACAGGGCTGAACGTTTTTGCTTTTTAGGATTTCGAACTTTTTTGAAATTGCCCGTCAAAAATTTTTGCGCCACCACGATTCTTCTGTGATTATATTTAGCTTGCGCAAAATTTTGAGGCTTTCAAAATTGTATTTTAGAAAAAAAATGGTTTCAGTTTTTCAAAAGCATGTAGTAAATGTGGTGAATTGGCCCGGCTCCGAAATCATTCAAAAATAATTGGAGGTGCACGTATTTAATAAAGACACTGAATTAGTAAAATCGAAACTAATCATGTTTTTTAAATTGGGAGTGAAAGAATGGCTTTCACGAAGGTTGTTTTTTTTTTGTTTTTTTTGTAATGAAATTTTATTTAATATATTTATCCAAAATAACCAGAAACACCTGAAAACACTGCAGGAAAATTGAAACTCCATCTTATACAGGTGTTTTTGATACATAGTTTTTGAAGAATTCAAATGGAGAACATAATCAACACACTCAGCAAACAGATTTCCATGTGAGAATTTACAAATCACATCGGGGCAGTACAATGGTGCCGAAGTATAACAGTGCCGAAAATGAAAACTTTGTTCAACAGTGCCGAAAATGAAAACTTTGTTCAACAGTGCCGAAAATTTGAACAAATTTCAACATATTGAGTGCGGCAATCAAAAATTAAACAGCGGTCGTTTACAATCTTAAGTGGCACTTACAAATTTTGGGAGAGAAAATTTACAATTTAGACGTTTTGGCGCCAAAATAATTGTTTAATTTGCTGTTGCACACATTTTGGCGCCAAAATTGGAGTGATTTTTTTAGATAATTAGCGTCAGTAATTTCCCGCTCTTTAGAAAATGTGTGTAAATTATTCTGAAATTTTACCGCTTTTTTCGGCACTGTTGTATTTCGGCACTGTTGAACGCCCCCAATACATCAAATTTCAGTGAAAAAAATAGCTAAGTTGTATATAGTATATAGTATATAATCTGAAAACTGGCCTTCTTAAAATTATTAACCAATGTCTAAACAGACAGAATGCGATTTTGGCCGATTTACATAATTATAATATAAAAAACCTGTACCACTTAAGCAATTTCTAAGTGTTTTCAACTTACTCAAATATTACGTCATCTAAACAGGTGAAAACCAAAATCAATAATCTTTAAAATGATTAGAAATATAAGGTTCAAACATATTTAGGAGAAAAATTTGTAGCAGCTCTGGAATCGTTCTTTTGAATAAAATTTCCTGGGTATCTCTTGATAGCTGCTTCCTCTAAATTTTATTTTTTTTCCATAGGAATCCGATACACCAAGAAATTGACTGATAAACAAAAAAGTGCAAAATCTTGTTAATCATTGGAAAATGAAGTTCATACTATAAAAGTATATGTAACTCATTAGAGCGAAAGTTGGAGCTCAAACAAAAAGTTGAATGAATTGAACGCATTGATATGATTTTGACTAAAACGCTAGTTTAAAAATGACAAGACTGCTCGTATCAGGGCGAAGCCCTGAATGTGCCGACTGCCTTTTAAGGTTTCATGGTAATAATATTGAAAAACTTAATGTAATAAAACAAAATGACATTTTCTTCTCTAAAATTTGAAATTTTTGGTAAAAATCATCCCCCCACACGCCATATAAAGTACAAAAGGATAAATTTTGCTCCTGTAACAAATCAAAAATGGCAAATAAGCTTCTTTCAATATTTGGATCGATTTTAAGACGGATTAACTCTCCGCTTACGCGTTAAAAGCGCGAAATATATCGAGCGTTAACTGTCCCAAATTGGCCAAAATGGCAATCTTTAAACCCCCATAACTTTACAAAAAATGGTCACAGGTGAAATATTTTTTCAAATTTGAGCTCAGGACAACAATACCTTTTTAATGATAAAAAAAATTCCGTCAAAAATGACTAGTTAAAAAGTCGAAATTTGTCTGAAGAAAAAAAACCCACCCCGAGCACAAATATTCCGTCACTTTCGTAACGAAAGTCGGAACAAAAAGACAAATAGTTTTGAAGTGATGGCTTGAAGGTCTCATGCGACTGCCGCTTAAGATATTGACTTAGTTGTTCTATTAGAAAAATTTAATTATTTTTTCATTTTTCATTGAAATCTTGGCCTATGGGAGCAATCCATAAGTAGATTCCTAAACAATTCAATCAGGGAAAAATTGATCAATTCAAATCTACTTTAATTTTTTTCATCTAAATTAGCCTGATTGCGATTTTTTGGATTGCTCTAATTTAATTTGAGCTATTTTAATGACTTCAATTTTTTTTTCCATTTCAGTCTAATGTAGCTCAAGTTGACAAGGATAATCAGGGTTTTTGTTGTGATTTTTCCATTACACAACGCTGTTTCAGCAAATGCCTGGAAGTTTCATGGTTATTGTAGCTTTTTCAGCCCTGATTTAGTGCTGATTTAGCAAAGAATCAGGGCTATTTAGTTTATTGCGATTTTGTTTCTTCCATGAAGTAGCGTTAACTTGACTCTAGTCTAACCCTGAACATCGAGCTTTGAACCAAAACTAAAAATCTCCTGATCTATCAACCTGATGGCAACTATTAGGTCAAAAATCAGCAACAATAGATTTCTGAAAAAAAGCTGATCTACTGTTAATTATCTATGACAGGTCAACCGCTGAGTTTGAGCTAGTTCCGTCCCAAAACTATATAAAACGTTTCAGATCAGACAAAAACTGGATTTAATTTTTAATGCCATAAAAGGTCGGCAAAAGATGCCCGGTTTGTTCACAAAAATGTTTACTAAGCAAAATTGCTGAAAAAATCATCGAAAACAATAACTTTTGATAGGAAAAAAACTTCAACTGAATTCAAAAAAAAAATTGAATTTCGGCAGCATGGATTTAATTCACCCAAAAATTAGACCAATCAGCATGCCTCAATCTGTTTTGGGTTGGTTTCTCAGCTGAATTGACTCTCAATTGACGATCAAGTTTCATATAGGATTAATTTAGGCTTAAAGCATCATATAGGATTACTTTAGGCTTTCAGTCTAGATAAAAAGATTTGTCCGAAGTTCTAAGCTAAAAACTTTAAAGTGGTCTGAATAGCGGAAATTGTTTGAGCTCAAAATTTTCATATCTATCCAAAACTGAAGCAACCAAGTTAAAAAATATGATAAGATGTCGCATTAATTAAAAAACACCTGGCTAGAGACCTTGCTAGGGTTTACATGGGAATTTTTTTTATAAATTCGACCCACTCGACCATTAAATAAATTACCTGGTACAATTAACCGCAACTCTATTCCAGTCCAGGAGTCAAAAACTTCAAAAATTCAAAAAAAAAATTTTTGTTTTTGATTCTTTGAACATTTTTAAAGTCATTTTTCGGCAAAAAATTTTATCTAATGCCTATTTTACTATGAATGTCGAACCTGCCTAAACTTGTAGTATTTCGTTCAGATCGTTTTATCGCACCACGCAGAAAAAAAAAACGCTACTAATTTGAAAAAAAAACTTTTTTGCATTTTTAAGACTATGGACGGAACATTCTGTGCTATTTGCACAGTAACCGTTTTTCCATTTTTATACTTTGCTTTTTAATCGCGAAAGTTTTGTTTGATAGCTTTGTGACTTTGCTGTGATGTTATCAGGAATTTTAGTAAAGAAGAGAATTTATTAGAACGAAATTGTCAGTGATTTAATGCATCAATCACAAAATTTTAAATTACAAAAATAAAAATGACACTTTTAACCATACACGCTAGAAAATTGAA